TCCCAGAGGAAAGAGTGAACTTAAACCAGATTTGGATCTCCTCTCTTTCTTTAATCCAGTGATTTAATTTTTTCAATAGTGACTTTAAGATAATTGAATTCTCAATTAATAGAAATTGTTAGTAAAATTTCTGGCTTGATTTATTATATCTTTTAAAATTATCACTGTAGCCCTAGTTTGGGTTACAGAAAAAGCTATCCAGAATATTTAACAATCCCAGCTACTCGGGAGGCTGAGGCAGGAGAATTGCTTGAACCCGGGAGGCGGAGTGAGCCGAGGTCGTGCCACTGCACTCCAGCCTGGTGCCTGGTGACTGAGTGAGACTCTGTATCAAAAAAAAAAAAAAAAAAAAAAGATTAACATAAACGTATACTTACTTACCTATTAGATTTTTACATAAATTTTCTAGAATGGTACTAATTACTATGTACTATTAATCTTGACTTAGACAAGGAACTTTTCTAAGCATTAGATATGAAAATTTAGCATTACCTCTTTTCTGAATGTATATCATTCTTTTTATTATCATCAGGTAATAAGATAGAGCTTAACATAGACAACCTCTTTCTTAGGTGACCTGTGTAAAAGATTCTTATTGGCATCATAAAGAGGTTCATAGGAACTGAGAAACACTAAAATGCTTGGTAACAGTTTTAACTAATTTTTAAATCCTTTTTAGAATAAATTTTAGTCAAGAATTTAAAAACATGGTATAATTATAAAGTGACTATTTTGATGTCAATCCAAATAGTAGTTAAGTGGTAAAAATCAATATTTAAGTGCTTCAAAATATTGAGGAGATTAACTCAGCCTGTTTATGGTGAACCTCAATCGCTAGACCAGAATGGAAAATCTACTCAGCTATTTACCGAGTGGATTATCCTAATGCATTACTGGGATTAATGTATTATTTTATTGTTCAAAATAGAAGCAACTTAATTTAGTTTCAGGTTCTCATTATCTGATGATTCTGTAGGCTTTCATTAAGTTCTACCTACCAAACACATCCTGATAATTTATTTTCTCTTCAAACAAAAGACTATAATAATAACAAAATCATTGGTTGCCAGGGGTTGAAGGGCAGAGAAGAAGGATGAATAGGTTAGATCACAGGAAGTTTTTAGGGAAGTAAACCATTCTGTCTGATAGTATAATGGTGGATACATGGCATTATGCATTTGTCAAAACCCACAGAATGTACAACACGAAGAGTGAGCCTCAACTATACCTTAGTTAATAAGAATGCATCAGTACTGGCTTATCAGTCATAAGAAATGTAGCACAATAATGCAAAATGTTAGCAATAGGAAAAGAAAGATACTGGATAGGGGAATTTGCTGTACCTTCTGCTCAGTTTTTCTGTAAATACAATATGGCTCCAAAAATAAAATATATGAATTATAAAAAATTCAATTGATTTAAAAATTAAATGTTCTTTTTTTGCTATAAGTTCACAAAGCATATAAAAAATAACATGTTCTTTTTGAAACACATGTTTTTATTTATTTTCACTTACCCTACTTTTTGGCAGTTGCCCCTGAATCTGCACAGGTTGGATGCCATGATAATTTTTTCTAAATGTTGAATGAGAAACATACAGATTTGGCGATATGAGAGATGATATATTCTTAAACCTATGTAAAAATATCTCAAAATGCTGAATTAAATATTAAAATCATCCTTTTAAATGTATGGGTGACTCCCAAAAGATAAAAAATAAGGAGAGTGAATCCTGAAGCTTTTGACTACCCTGGGGACATCTATACAAAAATCTCCAATGGGTCAGAGTTGGAACATCAATAATCTATTGCATATTGCAAAAGAGGGTCAGAGTCTTGGGCCTAAGAAGGGAAGGGAATTTAATTTGAGACCAGAATAAAGAAAGAATGACAAAGGGCCAATAATTCAGAAAGGAATACATATAAGAAAAGAAAATATTCCTAAGTAAAACATCACCTCTATCTTAGCTTTTGCTATCAATAAAGGGAATTTCAAAAAGGAAGTTTCACAGAAAGAGAAAGAATGTAAGAGAGAAAGAGAAAAAGGAAGGGAGAGGAAGGCAGGGAGGGGTAAGGGGGAAGAGCGGAAAGAAGAAGGAAGAGGAGAGGAAAGGGAAGGGAAGGGAAAGAAGTAGAAAGAAAAGGAAAAATGCCCTGGCTTTCTTCTCCATGAGAATTTGTAATAAAGTCTTAAGGTCTGTATTTATAATATACAAGTATAAACAACAGCAACAACAGCAGCAGCAAACTCCACAACCAGTCCTGCAATATAAGAATTTAAAATAGATCCTAGATGGTTGTGTCCCAGATACCCAACAGAAGCAAACAATATCACACTTTTGAAAGACAGATACTATTTTCAACCCAGGTGTCTTGGTTCAGGCTGCTATATCAAAGTATAATAAACTGATAGCTTATAAACAACAGAACTTTATTTCTCACAGTTTCTGATTGCTGTAAGTCTGAGATCAGCCTGCCAGCATGATCAGTTCCGGTGAGGACCTTCTGGATTAAACACTGCCAACTTCTACTTGGATCCTTAGAAGGCAACCAGAGAACTAGAGGGCTCTCTGAGGTCCCTTTTGTAAGGGTACTAATCTCATTCATGATTACTCTACCTAATCTGGATTAAAGACTGCCAACTTCTCCTTGGATCCTTAGAAGGCAACAAGGGAGCTGGGGTCCCTTTTATAAGGGTACTGAGCTCATTCATGAGGACTCTACCTACTTACCAAAGGCTGCCTCTCAATAGCATCACATTGGAGTTTAGAATTTCCACATATAAATTTTGGGTTGTGTTCACAAACGTTCAGTCCATTGTGCCACGCTTCAAAGATTTTTTAACATATTACAATGAATATGAGCTCAAAGTACTTTACAAATTAAATAAATTAATAAAAATTTTAAAAACAGAAGAGAATTAAGGCAGCATCAACATAAATCAGCAGAAACAACAGAGAGCAAAAGATTTCAAATGTCAGTTATAGAATATAAAAGAATTATGCTTAAATAAAGGAAGAAATAAAAACATAAGGAGTTAAAAAGTACAATAATAAGCAATAAGTCAGAAATAGAGCAAAAAAACTAAAGGTGTAATCTAGCAGATGAGAGATGTCTGAAGAGGGAAAGTCTGGAACATAGTTTTGAATCAAAAATATACATAATGCAGGACAGAGAGAAAGATGGAAAATATGAAAGAACTTAAAAGAGATCAAGGAAACATTTACAGACAATATCCGCCTACATCTATTTGAAATTTCCAAATAAGATAATAGGGTAAATAAACATTATATTTCAGCAAATTTAAGAACTGAAATAAAAGAAAGAAACTCCTGTGAAAATGTAACTTAGGATGATATAGAAACCAGGTGTAGTCATATAATCCCTTAAAATATTCAATCAATAGTTAAAAATCTTCAAAGTGAACACAAGACCCATATGGTTTCATAAGAGATTTCTCCCCAACATTTTGGGGTCAGGTAATAAAAAACAGAGGGTCCCAACCACATCAAAATTCATTGTTGTCAATACAGGAGTGGAAAATAACAGATTAACCCCATTCATGAACATTAAAAAAAAAAAATCTTAAAAGAAAGCATTAACAAAACAAATCCAGGTGTGTATTAAAAAGATAATACATTATGATCAAGTTTACTTTACTTCATAAATGCAATGATGGCTTCATATTTGAAATATTAATGTAACAACACTATGAAATTATGGGGAAAAGTCTATCTGTGTAAAGAAATGATTAGATTAAATTACATTTATAATAAAATCTCTACTTTAGAAATAGAACGCTTCCCTCTTATACCAAATGAAACCACAAAAAGATGCCATTTTTTTACCACCTACTTGGCAAATCATACCAAATGTTGGCAGGGATGTGGCCTAACTGGAATTCTCATATATACTGTTTCTGAGAGTGGGGCTTAGTAATAGCTTTTTGGAAATAATCTGGCATTATTTAGCAGATTTTAAGACTCAGCAATTCCATTTCACATATGCATATGTGCACCAGAAGACCTGTGTAAGAATGCTCATAGAAACGTTATTTGTAATGACAAAAAAAAAGAAAAAATCCGGAATTTGGTGATAAGAAGAAAACAAATTCTCTGTCAATAGAAGAATGGGTAAATAACCTCTATTGATGCAAAATGGCCTACTAGACAGCCAAAAAACTATAGCTGCAGACATCAACATAGACAAGCTAACAAAATACATGAAAAAATCAAATTGCAAATGTAGAAAAACATTTTTATAAAGTTCAAAAACAAGCAAATTAAACAAAGGAAAATAATGGAATTATAAACTGAGGATCCTGATCTCCCAGGAGGAGGAGGATAGCTGCTATCAGAGAGAGGCACATGAAGGTTTAAAAAATGTTGCTAACATAATTTTCCTTAAGTTGGAAGGTGAAAAAGCAGACATTTGTCAAATTATTTTATTTTATAACGTGTATAGATGTTACTCATATTTTGCATTTATCAAATGTTTATAATAAAATAATGCTTATAGAAATATAATGTAATAGACTTTATATTGCATTATATATGTGAATAATTATATTAGATAATTTAAATTTGTAATAGATAGTAATTTGGGGCATAGAAAACTTTCAATAATAAAGGCCAATGATGGAGACAGGAAGCATATGGCAAGCAAATAGAAGTTTGCCTTGTTAATACTGGCTGAATAATATTCAGTTTTTTACATAACATACAGATTATGTAATGAAAAGCAGCACTGTGCACTTGTAAAGAGCCAGATCGGTGCAAGTCTTGGTTGTGATACTGCCTATCTGTGGGATCTTGGGTCCCTCGTCTGTAAAATAGAGATAGTGATAGGACCTAATCCATAAAGTTATTGTCAGTATTAAATGAATTCTCACCCAGAAAATGCTTAGTAATGACTTACTTGCAATACATAATCAGTGTTAGATTCTAGTGATCATTTTCTCTTGATTTAAAACTTTGAAATGTTCTGTTTGTATTATGGTAGGTTTTGGTCATTTGACGAAGCAATTGATGACATTGGCTGATGGACGTGTGGTGTTGGCTCTAGAAGGAGGACATGATCTCACAGCCATCTGTGATGCATCAGAAGCCTGTGTAAATGCCCTTCTAGGAAATGAGGTAAAAAAAAAAAAAGTAAAAATACAAAAGGGCAGGGGTAAAGAATCAGGGATATAGGCATGTATATTTTTATATTTAAAAAAAAATTCCTCATACCCAGAAAGCTTAACCTTGCTCTTACCACTGAGAAATAAGGTAAGCCTTAGATGAGTTTACATGTTATCATATACTACAGTGTTATTCCAGGTATAGAATCCGTGTAACACTGGCTCCCTTCAATCAGGTTAGCCACAGAGCTCAAAAATAAGAACATTTTGTCTACTGACCTAACTAATGAGTATGGAAACATTGAATAAGAAATAAAACTTTTAAAAATGTCTAGAGATTTCTTGTGGGATTATGTTATTTCTAGGGGAAAAACCTATTTTAAAAATTGGTAAACTATTTTTGTCACCATTTAAGAATTCTCTATGCTAAGAGATAGATATTGCCATCTTACAGATGGTGAGAATGAGTCTCAAAAATGTTGAGAAATCCATCCAAAGTCATGCAGTCAGAACGCATTATAAGATCCGAGGTATGAACTTGAATCTAAGTGGCCAAAGACCATTCTTTTTTCTCTCACATCGCATGGCTACATTGCAACATATTTTCTGACTACTCTGCAGAATTCAGATCCAATTGCTATGAGGTTTCACTTCCAGCTCATGACACTCATGGCAACATTTTCAACCAATCAGTGGCAATTCAGCAAATATGTCTGTCAAAGTTTCTATGTATTCGTTAATATTATCAATTAACCTATGTTCTATAGTGATTATATAGTAGTGTTAGGACTATCATATGCATTTTGTATTTCTTTTATGAATTTTCAATGTGATTTTGCTTATTAAACACATACAAAATCTTTTAAAAAATCTATCATTTATATCATTTTAACTGTGATGCATGTCTTTGCGTGTAGTATTTATGAAACAAAATGTGCCTTTTCTTCTACACATAGAACATATAGTTCTTATTGTCATCATTATCTTACAAATCTGTAGTGTTTCCACATGATTATTTTTCATATTTATTGAAGTAAAAATATATGTTGTTAATTTGGAGAAAAAATATGAGAGAGAAAACTTAAGTATTTCTCAAGTGCTTTATTCTTGTTAATTTTAGAAAGCACAGTCTAAATTACATTAGGATGTAATTATCTAATGATTAGTATCAACAAAGTACTGCTGTTTCAGATCACACACAATTCAAGGTGTGTAAAATTTTCTAAAATGTTAAGTGTCTTTCCAAGATTCCTGTAAGCCAATAATGTCAAACAGGATGTTGAGTATTTTTTTTTTTTTGTGGTAGTAAGGGAGTGCAAGAAATAAATGCTATTTTTATTTTATGAGTTGATGTTGGAATGCTTTTGTGCCCCCCAGATAACATTTTTTGCACATGAACACTGGTATTCTGAAATCACTTATTTGATTTTAAATATAGAAACATGTTACAGAAGCATATTAATATTTGCATTATACAGGCTTACATCAGATGTGCAGAAAATCAGAATAGGTTGTTGATTTGTGGCTCCATGGATAATTGACCTGCCCAGAAAGAAATGTTACCTGATTGTAAAAGTTGACTACTTTTCTGCCCATGTGGAAGGAAATTTGGGATTTTTCTGGCTTTCTTTGAGCACTTCATTCAAAGGAGATTCTGTCTCTATTCTCTTAAAAAATATTTTGCTCTTAGCCCAATTCTATTCTTCCAAGGGAAGATTTCCAATGACAATAGAGTGATCTCCCATATGATCTCTTTCTTTAAGAAATGATTATGTTTCAGAACAGATTCAATTGTGTGGAGTTATGTGTTCTTAATTTATCTGTGTTTACTGTAAAGCAAAGTGTGTTTTGTACCTTGTTGCCATTCTGTGCTCTTTTGACAGGGAGAATGCTGGTCATTTTAGTGTATGTGTTTTTTGTGGAGATGAAATAAACTGCTTTTATAGAGCAATTAGTGACATTAAAATTGATGGTAATATGAGAGATTACATATTCTTAAATACTCCCATATGAAAATATCTCAAAATGCTAAATTAGCTATTAAAACCACTCTCTTAAATTTATGGATGACTTCCAAAAAGATAGAAAAAGGAGAGAGAATACTGTAACTGTTGGCTACCCTGGAGGCATCTGTTTGAAAATCACCAATTATTCAGAGTTTGAATTTTAATAATCTACTGCATATTGCAAAAAACAGAGCCTTTGGCCTAAGAAGGAAAAGGAATTTAATTGGAGACCAGAGTACAGAAAGAATGACAATGATGTCACCTGATTTAAAGTTTGAGACCTGTGCCTTTTCTCTGCATGTTTAGAAAGACCAGATCTGATACAGAGAAAGGAGTAAAGGTATCACTGGACATTATTAAACCTGACCATGTGACTGTTTAGATTGCTAAAATTTCCAGTAAGTGCTAACTGAAATGATTATTTTTGGCTATACTGACCACCGAATTTACTAATTAATATGTATGCCATACAGTAAATTTGAGTTAGTTATTATGAAGCCCTAAATCCCACCTTGTCACTTTTGGTTGGTGATCTTCAGTTGCATAACCACAATCTAAAATGTGTTCAATATAAACTAAAGGAAGGGAGGTTTAAATAGTGTATACCTTTCTATATTTTTGCATTAAGTTTTCTTGAGAACATAAACAAGAATTTAGCTTTCCTAGCAGATACTTTAAAGGTAACACATGAATATGGGATTATTGAACTTTTGAAAGGTAAATATTGTTGTGTCAGGTCTATCAGTATATGGAAGAACAAAGCTAAGAAAAAGGAAGATGATTAAAAGTGAAAAATTAAAGAAAAATACAAGTGTGTTGTACATTATAATTCATTTGGGAAAAGGAAATGAAAATATAATACATGAAACACATTGAATAATGAGTTCTTCTCACTTTCATTGACAATATAATTTATAATCCAAGGCCTGGTTTTCTGTATTTTTTTCCAGGTCAAAGATCCTTATGACTACATTGAAGTTTTAAATTTTATTATTTTAGAAAAATAATACATAAAGCACATTGCATATACCTCACCGTTTTTTAAAAAGTGCATATATATGCAGTTTTCACAGTAGTTTTAAATGGTAAGCTGTAGGTAAGAAAATACAAAAGGTTGTCTTACAGATACCAGTTATTGCGATTTCAAATCCCAGTTTCCCTCCAAACCCTTTTTTCAAGTGATTAATGAGCAATTATAACTCATTATCTGGGATTTCACTTCTACAAATAACAAAATGTAGTAAAGCTTGAACTTAAAACATTGGTGGAACCTATTTTAGTTTCTCAACACTGAACATGCAATTGAACTCAAATTAGAAAGGTCAAGAGGTGCCTTTTGGAGGGCCTCTGCTCTTTGTCAGATGTATTTATTCATGTGCAGAGGATTAGAATTCATAAACATTTTGCCAGTTTTTTGAATGCTATTTCTTTCCCTTGTTGTTTTTGGCCAGGCCATGTCAATACAGCAAAATTTTGCTTCTTATGACTTATTATCAGCAGAAAAATATGTATTACATAAACCAAAGTAATTATAAAATCAACAGGAACCATTAGCTCTGCATCTGTGTAGACACATAGATGGGTACCAAAAAACTTGATTTTTAAAAATTCTAGTTATCTGAGTGTTACACCCAAAGCAAGCATTTTCTTCTTTTTAAATATCTTTATCATGAAAATGATCTGCTTAGCAAAACATCTCTTAACTATTCTTTTAAGAAGTATGTACAAGGTCAGTCAAAATAATACACTATTGGATTAAAACTAATTTGAGCATGGTACAGGAAATTCCTAGGGGCAACTGATTTTGAAGACATACCAGAAGTCCATTTTTTTTCTTTTTCTTGGCAAAGTTTAGAACTTAGATTTATCATTCCAATCAGTGCATGATGGATATTTTGATCTTTTTCGATGAAGCACTTAGAAACACCAGCTTGGGGTTTGCAAGAAATTGAAGTGAATATTTAAATGAGAAGAATTATTAGGTTGCTTGGAAAGGCATTAGGTATACTTATGTGAATAGCCACATAGTTTTTAGAATTCGTAATAGAAACATCTGTGAGGTTCCCAGAGAATCTGATTTTGGTAATCTGTATTTGAGCTGATTGGCAAACAGTGTCACAGTTGCTTTAAGGCCAAATTTGCCTACTGTTACGTAAAGCCAATTAGTGGCACCCTGGGTTACTTCCTCTGAAAGAAATTTTCCCAAGAGGTGAGAAAAGCTTTAAGCAGTTGCCATTCCTATGGAATCTAAAACAAAAACATTGAAAATCTTCAAGCAAGTAAAACAAAGGAGAGGATAGATACATAGTAGTAGAAGCCTTGGGTAGTGAGTTGAGAACATGGCCATTAGATCACCTGTCAATACAAAATAAATGATTATTTCTAAGCTTATTAGAGAAAAAAAGCAAAACAAATTGTCATAGATCTGGAAGCTGTTGAAATTATGCTAAAGCCTCTAGTACTTAGAGTTCAGCATTTACCCTTGGAATGCATAGCATGTTTTGGTTTTCCTCACTCTTTTTAAAATTTGACTTCTGATTTCTTTGTCGCTTCTTTTATTTTTCTTTTCTTTCTTTCCCTCCTTACCTCCCTCTCTTTCTTCTTCCCTCCCTCACTTCCTTCATCTCGTCCTCCTTTTCTCCCTTCCTCTCTCCACTTTCTTTTTAATAACTGCTATCTCCTGTTGAGTATGCCTAGCTGCTTTCATTTGACTTGAATTTCACAAACAGTGGCCAAACTTAGTGATTGTGTTTGTTGATAATCTTTTAAAGATGATGTTTTGCTCTAAAGTGGCTGAAATAGTCTCTTGAATTGACTCTAGTAAGTGTTGACAACCACCCCTGAGGTGAACTCTTGAGATGTTGTTACCCAAGTTGCTCATGAGGGGTTTGTTTGCATTGGATTCCGAATGGGGAAGTTGTTTTGCCATCTTTTTCATTCTTTAGATTATGTATGGCTTAGGCTTTGTCCATTGGGGAATTGGTGTGAATCTAGGAAAGCTTACAAG